CCCCACCCCACCCTTCTTTCTCCCATTCTCACTCAGATCGGTCCGAGCATCGATGAGCTTTGCAGTTTTGTTAAGGCCGCGAGGCTTAACAAAATGGATCGGATTCAGATCCAGGGCTTTTAATTTTGAGGGTCGATTTGTGCGATTGGTGATTTCCTTTGTGCCCCTGTTGGATGTTTTACCTTCCTGCTGTTCTCCCGTGGTATCTCTGAAATAAAAAGTTCCACTTGTCCGAGTTTTGTGGTGAAAACCGTCGTCACCAGGATCAGTATCTTCCGTTCTAGTGCTGACAGGAGGAGGTGCATCTGCTCCTCTCCTCTCAGTTGTTCTTCTCCTCACCTTTGTTCTCCTTTCTGCTTTCTGGCTGTAAATCTCTACGCCTTTCCTTCTGTCGCCTCCCAAAACTTCTTCTTCTCTCACTTCTGAAATGTTGCTCCTTTCTTGCCTTTAACCTCTGCTTGTCCACGTTCTTGTCTGCTGTGTCCTCTCAGTGCTTAACTTCTACCTGGACTCCCGCTGGGGTCTCCACGCTGACCGGCTGGTGGTCAACAAAGAGCAGCGCGGAGCTCGAAGCGTCCCCGGTCTCTCTCTGCTGCAGGCCGCTGACCATGCTCTCACTTCCTGTCACCTGACCTCTGACCTCCTGGTGGGGGATGTAGCTATTACACAGGGCAGGCACTACTGGGCATGCTCAGTAGAGCCGGGATCTTACCTTGTGAAGGCAAGTAAATGTGAACTTGCTGAAGTCAGCATGTCTCTGTGAAAGAACTTTATAAAGATCATTTTTACGSCACATTTCTTGAACCAAACCTTAAGGATGAAATCCAACATTAATGTATGACTGGTTTTATTTCAAAAACTCAACATTCTTTACTCAGTTTAATGAAARGTACCTGAAATGTGCCTCTTCTACTAGTTAACCCACTTCAAAATGGCCTCCACCTGCACAAAAAGAACCATAACTCCGTGAACTTTCCATATATTGAGCTAAAAATTGATGTGGTTGTAGCTGACAGTCCTTCACAGCATATTCTCCAAGCTCAGAGCAATGTTGCATGAAACGTGTCCACATCTCCTGAGATTTATGTAACTGAAGCATTAAATAAGCCTGAAGGAGACTGGCTTTTCTAATTCCAAAGACTTACTTGTTGAACAGGTGGGAGTCGGCCTGGAGTCCAAACTGCAGGAGTGGTTTCACCTCCCGCAGGACATGGCCAGTCCTCGGTGAGTAGAAAKAGGGAGATAAAAATTAAATTAATTTCCAAACAGAAACTGAGATTTTATTAACCCCGTTTATTGAATATAATAACTGAGCTTAATGGAAAAAAGATTGCCGACAGGCCTAAAATAACAATTTAATACAAAATAATCCTRCATAATGTTTTTGGTGCACATAAAAATTAGGAAGTGGTTTCAGATAATCTATTTTACTGGTTATAAATGAATCATTCAGCGGAATATTTTAAGGATTAAACCAAACTGATCTGTTTTAACCTACAATCCAAGATCTAAACAAGGTTACAAGATGTTTTACCTTTTAGTTTAGGCTTGTTATATTTCTGCTTGAGTTCATCTTTCTTAAATATACAGTTCAGATTTTTTTAAGTGCAATTATGGGGAATAATTGTGAGTAGTCAGTATCATACTTGCAGTAGAGAGCGGTCAGAATGTTTTCAGTCAGTATTTTATTTGTATTTTTTGCTACAAAATTTACTCATTTAATTAAAAATGAAACAACTATATACTACTGTATATAAGAAGAACATACAAATCAAATAAAAGACAGCAGAAAAAAATAAAAAATCTTGTAAATTTGCCCCTTTTTTACAACAGTATATTCAAACAAAAAAAATCTAAACAAAAACATCAACTCAAACAGTTCATTCGGATTCACATTATGCTATTTCATTTTTAAAAATAAAATAAAATAAAATAAAAAGAGTCAAACCTCAGTTTCTCATCCATTCTCATTTCACAGTTACGACCCAGACAGCGGCCATGACAGCGGCGCTGAGGATGCCTTGGACTCAGCTCCGCCCTTCTGCTTCCTCACGATGGGGATGGGTAAAATATATCTGCCACAACACAACCACCACCACCACAGCAACCACGGAAACATCAACCGAGACCCCATCACCAACGGCAATGGCCCCCCCTCCCCCGCGGGCCTCACCTACCCGCTGCCGCCGCGGCTGGGCGTGTGCCTCGACTTCGAGAAGGGGCGCGTCACCTTCTACGACGCCCACTCGTTGCGCCCGCTGTGGGAGGGGCACGTCGATTGCTCCGGGCCCGTCTGCCCCGCTTTCTGCTTCATCGGCGGGGGGGCGCTGSAGCTGCAGGAGCTGGTCGCCAACCGGAACGCGGATCAGACGCCGGTGAGGCGGGTGACCATCCAGCCCCGCGTCGCTAACTTAAACAACAACAACTGATCCCCGGTCAGAGGCGGTAATCTGTAATCTGGAATGTATCTGCGAAGTATTTACTCAGCTAGGTCGAAACGTTCAGACATCTCAGCGATTTTGTTAAGTATTTAATTTACTTGAAAAGAAATATGTTTCTATAGCCACAAATATGCAATGTAATTATTTCTTACCTTTTGTTACATGCAGTTTTGCAAGATCTATTGCTTAAGTAGTGTCTGGTAAGTCCAGCACTTTATGTAATTATATAAATATATTTAGTGCTTGCATCTAAAAGCTAATGTAGATAAAGAATCACAGTTTTTTTCCTCCTGTAGATGCTTTTACTTTGTTGTTTTGCGTCTTTAATGCTTTATATTGGCTTCATATATATGGATATTGCTTAAAGCCTGAAGTATATCATTGAATCTAAATTTTTAGCCACTTTGTTTTCATCTCAGCCAAAGTTATTGTTTTTCTGGGATGTAAATGTGGTAAATTAAAGGTAGGAACAATGAGGCAAAACAGTAATTAGACTCCGATAACACCTCTGCTGCACACTTAATCACCAGTTTCCACTCTTCTGTCTGTCTGTGTGTTCTTGTTTTGTATCGTCAAACACGTGTGTTTAATGTTGGTGTGTGTGTATGTGTGTGAGTGTGTCAAATCCCTGAGTATATTAGAGCATAAGGTTTGATAACAGCTCGAAATGTTCAGGAATCAAAAAGTTGTTTTCCCAAAAACACATTTTTAAAAAACTTTACTTGGTTCTAAATGATGAGAATAAAAACAGTAGCAGATTAAATTATTGTAAACTTCACCTGCTGGCAGAACGTTTGCTTGAAATAAAAAAAAGAATTATGGAACYTAACACTGAATAAACCTAAATGGATAAAATATTTTTGTTTTATTTATTGTGTTGACCTTGTTTAAAATCGTTTGGTCTAATTGCTATGTTACAGTTTTACCACCAGGGGGCAGAAGAGCACAATCGAGGATCATCTAGGTTGTACCTAAAAAAGATGACCAGAATTCTAATATTGCAGAGGAATGATTAATGGAAATTAATGTTTGTCATTGGATATTAGCAAACATGAGCATTTCTCACATTTTTTAGTTTAAATCCTGACAGATTTGCTGATACATAATTAAAGCAGATGACAAACTGAAAGAAAATGGTGAAACATGGACAAATGCTGGTGTGATGCATGGTGCAGTGAAGCAATTAATATCGAATTATGCTGTCTGTTGTATATAGAAATACAAAGCAGACTTGCAATATTAATTTAAATACAACTCAATGTCTGGTATTTTAATGGGAAGTGTCTAAAATAAAAGTTGTTCTAAAAAAGTGATTTGCAATTGAAGGTTTAGTTAGTTAAAATATGCTGTGTGTGCGGTAAAAATAGGTTACTTAATGAGTAAGGATATGTTGGTAGCAAAAAAAGTAAAGAGAGGGGTGACTTCACGTGGTAAATGACCATGTGATTAAACTGTGAGCATGAACAATCCAATAAGAATTACATAGAGTGAGGTTTTATAGTCGAACAGCCATGCARGGACCGGTCATTAAAAAGACAAATGTAATTTGCAAAAGGTCAATGGTAGAAAAGACTTAAATGCTCCAGTTAACAGATGTAGGGAAAATAATGTTTGTCCTTCATCTAATTATTTGCATTTGTGACTCATAAAAATAATTTTAAAAAAGCCCTGAAAGAGAAGATATACTGTGACTCTGATAATGACGGTTCAGCTTCACTTGTCCTCAGAAGGAAAGTTCACATTAATCAATATAAAGCTCTGCTAAGTGATCATCTTTATTCTGTTATGAAACARGTATGTCCTGATGAGACTCGTTTTTTTCCAGGGGACAAAATGGTCACTGAATGGATTGARGAGCCGATCTGACCGGATCTAGCTTGATATCAAGATTTTAAAACCAGCGTCATAAATAAAGTCAAACTAGGTGATAGCTTATGGAACCACAGACTTGTACAATCTGAACAAAGAGGCTACTCTGGCAGCACACGCTGTTCAAARAAAACACTAAAGCCACATGTTTGATTTGTCTTAATTTATCATCCATCTGCTGGTTTTTAGTTTTGACACTGAGCTAACAGCACAGTTTGTTGCTTTTCCGTGTACTAAATTTAGTCTGGCACCGTGGAGGCTGCGAAGAAGCCTGTACACACCGAGATAAGAAGAGGAAATCAGGGGAAAAGCACAACATTTYTATAACTAAAACTGCTCAAAATTTACAAGCGCGCACGCATCGCCAGCTGACCAATGACAGTCATCGTATTAAATCACAGTAACGGCTCGCAAAACCTTTACAGKGTCTGTTAAAATTTAACAAGACACTTTTCCAACTCCCTCACCAAATCGTATACATTTATATGGAATTACCRTTCATGCCAGTGTTTTGACTAATCTTTTATGCTCAGAAATGTAGCTTTTTGAATGTGCACTTAAATGTTACTATCACGCCAAATTTGAACTAAACTGTCTGAATTATTGCCATTTTTGTGTCGTCTAAGGTCGGCTAGCTGTGTCGACCAACTTGAATTGGGTTAAATCCAAATATTAATCAGTCGTAGACAAGTTTTCTTTAAACTGAATAGTTCATGAGATTATTTTGCTAACAGAAAGACAACTAAATAGTTGATTTGAACAAAGATCAGAATATAGTTTGGGGATGATTCTTCTCTACACCCTGTTTCAGGTCAACATGTGTGAAACTGACAGACTTTTAGCCATTTTTGTTTGGCTGTGGCAGCCATCTTGAAAAGAGCTGACCCTAAAAGTTAATTACAAAACACGTTGCTCAGATGTTCACAAGATATTTTATTAACAAACAGATACACAAACAGATAAAACTAAAAGCAGTATTTGCCCCCCTGTGACGAGCAATAATGACTTTCCCTAAATCCAATAAGAGTTGAGTTTCTAGTAAAAGATGCCACCTGTAGGCTGATCACAACTGTAAACAGACTTGAAACATGCCTCAAATGCCTTCATATGATGAAATATTTGGCCTCTCCTGATAGGAAACGAGAGGAATTCTCATATCAAAACCAACGTCAGCTCTCAGATGGTTTCTGGATGAAACAACCCAGATAAAAGTGATGAATAATGGTGATGCACATGTGCTTTCCATAAGAGATATCGACGCACCTCGCGTACGGGGGGCGCTCCACATTCCTCATGTAAATGTGATGTAAATGGTTGGAGCTTACCTTTTATGAGCCTCGGCATGAAAACGCACACATGTGTTTAATTGGACGCACATTCAAAAGGAAACTGCAAGGGGATCGCGGTTTGCCTGAACCGCAAGGGGAGGCAGAAATACTGTAAATAAATAAAAAGCAGTGCACACAGCTTTATAATGATGTAGCACACAGATAAAAATACAGCCCCCATAGAAGGGGGTTGGAGGGGGGGCTTACCTCTGATCCCTGATGATATAGATGAATTGGAATGTACTGTAAAGTAGGAATACTGTACCACCCCCCACCCCCCATGTGCTCACTGCACCTCTCTTCTTTAGTCCAAATCTGTAACAGATTGGGTTTAGTCTGACTGGAGGTATGCAGCCACAACACCACATGTAGGGGTCCCCATAATCCCTCTGCTGGGTATTAAAGCTCACAGCATGGGCATTCTTTTAAACCCCCCCCCCCCCCCGCAGGAATTACCCATTCATAATCTCCACTATCATAGCTTAGTTTATGTTTTTTTTTATGTGCGGAGGGCGGGGCTGTTCGTCTGAACTTTGTGAAGAAGCCGTGCATGATCTGTGGGAGACGGTGTGCGGTGCCATCTGGASAACACACAGGGCAGTCTGTTGGAATCTGCTAACCCGACTGTCTTAAACAACATAAAGCTGAAGCACATGTTCAAAAGTGTGCGGTTTCTGCAGCCTGAAGTGGAATATATTGTTTATACGCTGAGTCAAAACAGATATCATGGATGTCTGGGCTGAAGGCCTGGAGAACAGACGGTGAGGGAAATGTAAAAAATCATCAACACACGTCAGCAGCAAGGCCGTAACTTTAGTTCTACCCTTGGGGAGGTTTTGTTCTCTGCCTATTCATGTATTTATCAAATTGTTTACTTTGGTAAAATGATTGAGGATATTTTGGGGTTAAAATACATTTGATTTACTTAACTCTCCTGTTTTCTTTGCATTTAGGCCTACTCTGCACATTTTCTGTTGTCAGTTCAGCAATTAAGAAAAGGCTTAGTTTCTTGCCCATTTTTTTCCAACATTAACAAATATTTTACATTTTTAGGATGCATTATATGAATGTACCTACATTTCTGCATTTTCCATGAGTATGTATTTATCTGGTGCACTTCAACTTGGCAATTACAACACATTATTCAACAAATACTGCCATAATGTGACAAGAGCAGACAAAAACCCTGCAGGGTATTTTCAACAGTTATGATTAAACGTAATATCTATCTATCTATCTATCTATCTATCTATCTATCTATCTATCTATCTATCTATCTATCTATCTATCTATCTATCTATCTATCTATCTAT